TTAGTATCTTCAAGTGGCAGAAATACAGAATGCACAGTAGTTACCCAGGATCCAAACCAACACCAGAGTTGAGCTTAGATGGCAGCAAAGCAGACTATCAACAGGACAGTGCAGGGAGACGCTGGCCAAGAGAGAGAGGGTGAGCATGTCCTTTAAATGGGTATGTTTGTTTGCTTGTTAGACATTGCTTATATACATGTGCATTGCCTGACACCTGCTCCCACAGGTCCAGCACACTTGGGTACAGCAAACATGTAACTAAAAACTTGCTCCAAAATTCATCAGAGGTTAAAATGTTGTGACCCCTTCAAGCACACTTATAATGAATTTAGAGCATCTCACTTTAACACTAAAGAGATGAGGCTTTGAGCAGCTGCGGCTGTAGACAAGTAAAACGAGTGCTGTGGTCTTCAGGACCTGGTAGTTCATCACTAAAGACAGACCTTACAGCTTCAGCATGGTTCAGCTGAAGCAGGGAGTAGAGTGGATTACCCTTCCCTGATTCAGCTCATGCAAACCGTGATGCTTTGACTTGCAGCCCCCAAACCTCTGTATCTTGTAAACACTTGTCAGCCACTTGCTCCTAAAAAGAACAAGCAAAGTGGCATCTTCAGATTCAAGTGCAAATGCTGCAGGAGAGTATTTGAAATAAAAATCATGTTCAAAAGTTGAAGGTCCCCTTTCAGTCAAAAACCCTGAGCTTGCTCAAATAAAGCATGCAAGACGTGGCTGTAGAACAGACCATAGATAAAATACCTGCTTTCTGCAGAGCTGTCTGGAAGATCTGCATGTCACATCAGACTAATTTTGCTGCTAGAGAAAGAGGAAGGGGAGGGAGATTGCACAGTCTTCTGCTCTCAGTGAAGTCCTGCACGGAGAGGTTGCTGTATTAACCACTTCACTGTTTTGTGCCAATCTTGTTATCTGTTCTTGTTAAAACCTTTATTATTCATGGATGCAAAAATCCAATCATTAAAGCAGCATAAATATTCATACTGTGTGCATTTCATTTAGCTGCTTGGCAAAACTTCTCTGGAGTACAGGAGTTTTGAGGAAATCTGGCTAATGAGACTAGAGCACAGGAAGTGTGCATGGGTTTTCCTTTCTTTTTTACCTGCAAATAAATGCAGAATAACTAATCAAATAAACAACCACAAAAGGGGCACGTACTCACCAGGAAGGATGATATGCACACTTGCTTTGACTTCAGTGTCAAGGGGAATCCAGGGCCTTTTGTAATGCAATTATGTGCAAGAACCAGGATATTGTAAAACTAATGTAGAAAGCATGATAAGCATCGCTGCATGGGTTCATCCGGCTTTGCCTCACATTTAATGTCTAACCATTAACATCCTGCATAGTCCACACTCTTGTTCAATCCTTTTTTAAGGCCAAACTGCCATTCTTCTCTCTGCAGCTACACTAAATCAAAATGTAGCTCTATTCTGCTCTCTGAATGCCAGTTTATCTATATTCTGCACTCCTGCTCCAGCTTCAGGATCTTTTTGATGGTAGAGATAGAACAAGAAGAAGTTACTCCCACAACAAAGTTTAAAAACAGCCATTAAAGCATCTGCTACATCAGATACTCAGCAGTGGGGGGAGTCTTCTCATGTGGGCCTGGTACATCAAAATCCTGAGCTGCCAGATCAATATGTAGCACTTCAGGAGAAGCCTTGCAGAGTGCTTCAGGTTTTTGCTGTTTTAGAATAGCAAGGTGATGTGTGTATTTTTAAATGCTAGCGGGGTTTTCAAAATCGAGAAATGTGGGCTTGATTGAATGGCAAAAGTTTCATTGACTTCCGCAAGCATCATGACTGACCAAAGGACTCCTTCTAGAGAACACATCAGTCACTTTCCAGGTTTTCTATTTCAAGTTTTTATGAATTTCCACAAATAAGCAAGTCTTCTACTCACAAGTAGTTTACACCAATAACCACTTTCTTGGCTTGAAGTCTGCTGTGTAATTCCCACTACTGCTTAGCCATCTGTGACTGAATGAGCTCTTTCTTCCCCACCCCTTCTCCACCCTCATTGTAGTGAACAGAAGCACTGGAATACACGCAGTGCTATGTAATGCACAGCATGCCAAGTTTCCACTGAAGCATTCACACCCAGCCAAGGGCTTGATTCTTCCGACCCTCCTTAGGCAAGGATTGTTGCTGTAGGATTACAGCTTGTCATTTTCAATATGTAACACTCCATTTATTCCCAATACTCAAGTAAAAATGGACTGGAACTTCAGTATCATATCAGGGCTGCCACTTTAGGCCTCAAGATGCTTTGCTTTTGCTATGTTCAGTTTCTAGACTTCTTATTCCTTTGTCTATAGGTAAAGTGACAGTAAGGAGAGAAAAAAAAAAGCCTCCTAAACTCTTTTGACTAGTGATCAGCAATTAGCCAAACATTTAGTTAAGATACCCCAAGTTACAGGACGTTAGAACAGAAGGCACAACTGGTTCTTAGCAGTACAAGGATCAGAGGGATACTTACACCTACTGTATCATAGTAATTTACTTGATCTTTCCTTTTACAAATACCACCCAGAGAAAAACTTCAGTATTGCCAACAGCACTTTGGCTGTGGATAAGGAAGTGAGTTTAAATATTAAATGTTAAAAATAGGCCTAGAAAGCTAAGTAGGCATGTCCCACAAAACAGCACTTCATGCTTTGAACTTCCAAACTGACAGACAGCTGTGTCTAAGGCTTGTACTTTAAGTTGTGTACACAGGAGGTACCTTCCATCCTTCCTTTACTTCAGATAGACAGGCATCTAGAAATCACTCCATACTCTTTATCTTGAATGCAGTATATGCTTTCATAAAGTGCTGGGCAAAACAGAAAATTCTTCTTCTTTCCCTCCAAGTACATGTCTAGCTTGCTACCCTGCAATTTCTCATGTTTATATTCCTCCTTGTGTAATCAAATGACATGAGAACTTGCTTGAAGGACTACCATAGGAAAAATGAGTGTTTCAAGATGTGCTAGTGGCTGCAAGAGTTATCTTGTGGTTTGAATTCTTCCAGAGTAAATATGACTGACAGTACTAGTCAGCTAACAGACTCATCTGGAGGGGAAGGAACCAACAAAAAACCTCTGTGCAACATTTTTTGCAAAACTGCTTATTTATGAATTTTCCTTAAAGGTTATTTTTGCATCTTACAGAGACTTTGCTTTAAAAGCTTCTATGTGAGTCTAAGTAAAATTTTAACAAAAATTTAAATTGGTGATATTTCAGCTTGTTCACTTAACGGCAGCAAATGGAAATGGTGCTGAAAGCAAACACAAATGGCCACGTACAACAGCTGTCTGTACAGCTTTTACAGTGAAGACTGAGACTTGGTCTGGGCTCCTAGACACACACCTGCAGTATAAAGTTAAATCATGTTTTAAACTAAACTTCCCAGTAAGGGCAAATGCTAACAACAACAAAAGTTATAAGGAAGGAGACACTTTCCACTCCTGTGCTGTTAAAGCCTGTAAAAAATTCAACCATCTCAGCTGGTTACCACAACTCTAACCTATATAAATCAAAGCTTTGTTTTAAATGAATAAAACCACTTTGGCACACAACCATATCATAGCAATATGATGCATGCCTGAATATTCCTAAGAATGCCCTCAGAGGTACTCTGTGAGCAGAAATATTCTGCAGAAAGGAAGAAGAGGGAGTACAAAGGCCCATTGTGCACACTAATGCAGAAAAATGAAATCAAATACCATTCTCAGCAAAAGCAGAGTGTCTTCTGAGCAAAGGCTATTAAGTGTGTCAGACTGCAGGATATTTTCTGGACATGGCTATTATGTTAAGACATACTGAACATGTGTCACTTATAACCCAGCCCTGGTTGTAACATCACAGCTCCACAGGAAAAAAGTCTGGTGCATCAATTCTTTGTATCAAATACTCTCACACAATTCTCACCCAGCTGTCACTTCTCATTTGTAAAGAAGGTTAGAGTAAGTTATAATTACTACTTGCTGCCCTGTCAACTAATTAAATATAATAAAAAGCTTTCTGTGAGTTTAATGTTAACACAGTGTAATTACAGGAGTTTTGAATGCACAGTGCACTATTACAGGTTTCGGTATTTGCTCCCCATCTTTTATGACCTAAATTCTCAGGTTAAACCTATCATATGACTAGTGAGCAGGCACTTTCAAAGACAACTATTCAGACATAAATACAAGTCAACCAAAGCAGTCCTGTGTATTTTTAGAGGCACAGCATCAGCCTCTGGGGGTAGAGGTGGAAGGAAGGAGAAGAAGGCCAGCCAGTTTCTCCCTTCCACTTTTCTTCTTCCCTTCAGGAGGCACCCTCTCCCATCCATGAGGCTCCCACTGCTCTGAGCCTTTTTCCTCCCTTTTGTAAAGAAAAATACTGCTGATATTTCAAAGCTACTTCCAACCCCATCTCTTCATCAGTCTGAGGAGCATCTTGGTAGGGGAAGAGTGAGTGCAACTGCCCCACTCTGGGGCTGGCTCTACTCTTCAGTAAGAGTTACACCATACAAATACCTTCTACACAGGGAAGGAAGGAAGATTGCTAGGGAGGCCTAGAGCACGGTGGAAGTGATGATGGAGACCATGTAATGCTTCAGCACTTGGGCTGACATAACTCCTTACCCTCCTAAGTATTTGGAAGATCTTTGAGCACATTTGAAAATGGTGAAGAGCGGAAAAGTCAGGCTTTAGATCATCCAGGACATTGGTAGCTACAGTTCTACCCAGTTGTGCCTACTGCATTTTTCACACTTTCCCACTCATACTCCTCATTCCTCTTCCTTCCCGGGAAACATTCAAGGTCAGGTTGCATGGAGTCCTGAGCAACCTGATCTAGTGGAGGATGTCCCTGCTCATTGCAGGCAGGTTGGACAAGAAGAACTTTGAAGGTCCCTTCCAATACCGATAATTCTATGATTCTATGTAAGTTAGGTACAAATAGCTCACAAAATAAAAATGCAATTAATTAAATAAAAATGTAGTCTAAAAGAACCAATTAAAATGATGAAAATCTTTAATTTTATTTAAGTATAGTTGTACGGACACGTGTATATACAAATACAGATCTTATGGGGCAGGGATTTTGGTGTTGTTTTTTTTTTTTAACATTTTCCTTTAAGTTTATATAATGTAAGCATTTCAAAAACAGCACTCAATGAGTAAGTGCAAAGAAACTGCAAAGCAGGGCAGTACAAGCACAGGACCACACTGAGCTGGACTTTCATACCCAGATGCATACACAATGAGTGTCTTCAATGGGGTGTCAAGAGTAAGCATGGTAAGCGGATTTCGCAGACTCATGGGTAACCTCCAACATGCCAGCATCTATTAAACTGTACAGACAATGGCAGCAAGCCTATTGTAGGGAGATTTGTCTCACATCCGAGAAGCTCGAGGGCGAATGCATGGGAAAAACTCAGTGATGCCAGACCAGAAACAGATCTGCCCATTCACAGCTCCAAATTAAAAAAGGAGGAGGGTGGGAGAGGAGGAAGGGCAGGAAGAGGGAAGAGAAGTGCGGAGGGTTGTACATTAAAACTGGTGATTACAAAATCCAAGTGTAATGAAAAGAGGGGAAGAGTTAACACTCTAAACCTCTGAAAGTGACTGAACCATTGCACTCGTAAGGCAATGGCTTAAGTTCAGTTTTGAGGGTTAGGGGTGGGAATCAACAGGTACAAATACAACCATTTTCCTTCCACAGTTATAGAGGAAAGGAAACAATCTACTCAACTACTCTCAGTACTTCCCAAATTTGTTTCTAGCTCTTTTGGAACCAACTACATACATATATCGCACATGACACTGGCAAGATCCTTTCTGGAAAAAACTACTCATGGGAACAAAACCAGAAGGAAAACAGGAGGAAAAAAAAAAAACAAATAAAAAAGAAACAAACCAACAAAACAACAGAAAAGTTGTTATATCCCCAAAGCCTTTTTAGAAACAAACATGATACAAAAGAACAAAAACTAACACATAAACCACAGGGCTCCAACATCAGACCTTTAAACGCTGAGGACAAAACACTGATCATCAAAAGTCATGTTGTTCCAGGTCTTGACATTGTGAAGTCTTGCAACAGATGAACGATTTTCAAAGATGAGTCCTGTATGCTGCAGTGTCATGGCCACTTGTCTCTCAGTTCTCAGCCATGATCACACTTGATGCTTCAAAGCTCTGTCTTGTAATCAACACGTGATTTTAATATCCTGAAAGTCTATTGTTCTCACTTACAAAAGACATAAGAATCAAATTAATACTTTATTATCAAACACTATATACAACAGAGGTTGCTAATAATACAGAATTTAAAGAACATAGCTTTACTTGTCTTTCCTTCGCCATCCAAGTAAGTACAGTACAAAACAATATTCTAAACTAACACGAAATGTTACCTTGTCTATTGAAGGATACACAGTATCCACTAAACTGACTGATTCCTATTTTGCCTGCTTCACATTGCAATGCACTTGGCAGCCAGGAGTGCAGGTCATGGGCATAAGTAACCCACCTAGGCTGAGGGAGAATCAGTACCTCAGACTTGAGCTGGGGCAGATAAAGGGTAAGGAAGCAAAAATCTCTTCAATTTGCAGCAACATCTGCATTTAAAGCATCCAGAGATTTGCAATGCAGCACAAAGCCCACCAACATTTATGTATCTTGGTATGACCGGGATTGCCTAATGCCATCAAATATCAAACTGGCAGACTCTGGTATGCTGCTCCCAGCCACACCGTGCCAGGCAGCACTGAGATCTGCCGTGCAGACACATCATTTGTGTTGTCCCTCACCGACCCAGCAAGGCCCTGTGACAACATGAAGGGGTGAGTTTCACCAGGAGTAACACTAGTGACAATCCTTTGTGGATAAATGTACGTCTTCAACTCCAACACCATTAAGAGACAAAGGATGACAAATGAAGTCACTGTTCCTACATTAAATTGGCACTACTGGTATGACTGCCTGCAATTGCTATGAATCATTTTAATATGGTTACACATCATGCAATATTATCTGTACTCTGGTTAATAATCCATTTGATAAGGTGCATTTTGAATAAGCTCACCTCATCCAAAGCTTTTTAATTCCTACATACAGGAAGTATTAGTGTGTGTACCAAGCATATACACATTAAAGAGAGCAAAGTACCAGACAGCCTGCAATGAGATGATGACTTCCCTCACTCTTTGGTCTGCGTATCTTTATTCTGTGTACTTCACACTAGAGCAAAGTTCCTGCATTCCTCCTGTACATATAGGCCCTGCATTAATGAACATGTATGATATCAGGCAAGCCCAGGTCATAGCTCAGCATGCATAAAACCTCCTTTTACATCTCAAATTTATTTTCCCCTCTCCTGCTTCAACTCCTGGAAAGCTTTTTGCCACTAATAAAAAAAAAAAAAAAAATTAAAAAAAAAAAAAAAAAAAAAAAAAAAAAAAAAAAAGAAAAAAAAGAAAAGCAAAAACCAAGGCCCATGAAGTGCTGTCCATTAATGGCATCACTCAATTGTGTTATGGTAGACTTTTTCTTCATAATTAATATAGAAAAATACTGTTTTGCTTGAATGCACTCTGTGTTTTATTTCACATTTAATGTAATTACCACAGTTTTTGTCAGAAAAGCTCTGTTTCAGTCTGGGTCTGAAATTTCACTGATTATGCTTAGCATCCAAATTCAGTGGCAGCCAACCCAAAAAGCACTCCAAGGCTTGCACTTCCTGGCAAACTACTTTTTAAAGTTTTGTGTTAGCCAAGGCTCAGATTCCTTAACAGGGTCATACCTAATTCCATCAAACAAGACAGGCCCATTTCCTAATTGCATCAAGGGTTACCACTTCTCTCACATGTTTGAATAGGACAAGCATATATACTCACTCTCAGCATAAAGTATACCTACATAATGTATTTTCTATTCTAGTGGATTTTTAAAAAAATATTTTGTTAAGTCTTTGGGAGCCCATCTAGTTTATCTCCGACTGATAAACATTTCCTCTACTCTTCAAACTGGAAGGGGAAAAGACAAAAATCAACACTTGAATTCATATTCCACACTTCTTTTCTTTCCCCCCACCAAACAATGCTATTAGAGTGCCCTGGCTTCTTCTACACATGATTTATTCCCATGTTTGAGGAACTTGCAGGAGAGACAAATCAAGAGCACACTGGAGATCCTGTGTCCCAAACATGTTTCGTCTGGCCACCGATGTCCTCTTTTAGCATGTATTAACACCCAGAGCAGCATACAAGGCTATCAGCTACTAAGTCAGTGCTGGGGAAGGTCACTTTATTCTCAAAAGTGCCTCTGCATTTCAAGAAAAAAATTGTAGCACCACGGTTGATTTGTTTTAAAATAAAATAATCCGGTGTGCATTATCCCCTTAAAACGAAATAACAGAGGCACTCACACCCCCAGTGAAGTTTCCTAGATCTGACCTTGCCTGCTGTGTGCTAACATTCCTAAATACTAAACTTCTTCCTCTCACCAAAGACAGCATTTCTACTTGTGAGCACAAATGTTACTGTCAAAGACGTTTCAAGACAACCCTATAAGAAACATCATCTTTCCCTTTCAGAAGCCCATTCATTTAGGAACTCCTGGAGGTAAGGGTGTTATATTATGTCTATTCTTAATATTTCCCCTCCAGTCCTGACATGGTGACACAATGCCTTGCATGATCATCTTACAGTGCTGAACGAAAAGGCATAAATATTGTGTCACAGAGAAGGACTCTCCTGGGTTTTCACTCACTTTTCTTATCCCTCACTGACTGTATCTGCCACTATTCTTCCTTGTCCACATACAGATGACACAGTGAGCTAACAGAGGTGACTTTTTAAAGGAGAATGCAGAGAAAAATAAGAATCACTAGTGTCACTATTATAGTTTGGCATTTTCATTTGGAGTCCTTTTATTTATATGGAGGGGTTAAGAAAGTCACAGGGTAGGTAGGGGTGGGTGCTGAAGCTAGTTATCCCCTTCAAATTTTTGCTGAGTTCAGGCTAAAAGGGAGAAGAAAAGGGAAAAATAACAATTTGACATCTGCAAAAACAATAAAGTCCCTTTCCTGGGATGAGCAGTTAGATGGATCTTTGATGTTCCAAGACCCTGGTATTTTCTGAGACAGGTTGCCGGAGCATACTCTGCTATAATATCAAAAGCATTGCCAGGAGGAACAATAGGGTTGCCAAAAGCCGGCTGGGTATCCTTGGTGTCTGTGCCGCGTTCTCGCCACGGGATGGCTCGGCTGACTCATGTACGGTATCATCTGTTCAAACAGAAAGCACACATTCCAATGAGATTTTGCATCCTTAATAAACTCTCACTGAGCCGACAACCGTAAGTAGATTTCAGTGCCTTTATGAAATAGGGCAATGAACCTTGTGCTGTCATTGACTTTCGCAAGCGTGTAATACCTCATTATGTAATCAACCTGGGGCCAAGTCCTCCATTTCTTACTGGAAAAACTCCCACTGAAGACCAGAGGAGCAGAAAGTAAGTCTGATTTCAGCGGATTGAGGCATGAAAGGTTCCTCTTCCAATAAAAGGCTGTAACTCTAGCTTTGGATGGCTCATTAGATAGCAAAGTCAGTTGGAAGGCAGCTAAATAAAAACACCTGATTTTCAAAAGTGTTGCACATGCCCAGAATTAATTTCACAGTTAATCCCCTTACTCAGTTGCAGATTTTGGCTCATGAATTTGAAACGACAGCCTGTAAGCCCAAGCATATACTCCCCTTCCACACATAAAATTTCCACTGAAGTATACTGCATCTGGGGATGTGCAGGAGATCTAAGATCATTCCCCCCTTCTTGAAACACAATTTTTAAGGCTAACATATGACAATCACCAATTTTATAGAATACACACTCAATCTGGAAAATCTCACTCCCTTTTAGTTTACACAAAATAAATTTACGTAAATGCTGCTACAACTAATGAGAAAAGAACCAGCTGAGTTGCAAAAACATGCTTATGCGTTAGTGGCAGAAGAGAACACAGTAGCAAAACTTAAATTAATGATACATAATAACGCTCTGATTAGTTTTCGTAAACTAAAGATCAGCCTAAAAGCCATAGATTGTAACATAAAAAAGGTAGGTAAAGTCAAATTCAGCTTCTGTTTGTTACAGCAGTGGTGGTTTTCCTCTGCGAAGCCCTCCACATCCCCCATAGCCACAGCTATCTAATTTGGCTATTTAAAAAAACAATCTGCCTGAGGCTTGCCATAAAAAGTCAGCTCTGAAAGAAATAAGCTAAGCCTTTTGGGGAAGTGTGAAGTGACCTCAAAATGTATTGGTAAGTTTTTTAAAGAGTCCTTTAAATTTCCAGCAAAACTAAGTGTAATAAGCTCCCCTATTTTATAAGAGATGTCAACATATCTATGATGTTTCTGTCTCATAGCTCCTATCTCAAGAAATTACACTGTCAGGATTACACTGGTTGAGAACTGTGCAAGTCCACCTGGAGGACTAAGGGAAGCAGGAGTAAGGGCACTGGACTCTCTGGGACCGCTTTGGCATAGAGCCTTTCGTATTACTTGGCTTTAGCTACAAACAAGCTCCCATGCCTTCCTACCCCTGACACCCAGCACAAAAGCAGAGAGAGTACTTAGCATAATTTAGGTTAATAGGATCTTCAGCCCCAGCTCAGTTACACAGCAAGATGCACAGTAAACTGAATTAGCAATTTATCACCTGTACTTTTTTCAGCACTAATTGATGCTACAATCACATAAGGCTTATCAACAGGTTTCAGTGCTGCTCAAGGCAAAAGGACAACAAGCAAGCACTGATCAGCTGTAAACAGTTCACATCTGTAAGAAAGGGACATCATCTCTATTTGGTGGTGCCAAGCAATAACCTAGAAGGCAACAGGCAGAAACTGATGCATAGGAAGTTCCACCAGAATATGAGGAAGAACTTCTTTATTGTGTGGGTAACTGAGCACTGGAAGAGATTGCCCAGAGAGGGGGTGAGTCTCCTACTCAAAAGCCATCTGGACAAAATCCTCAGTAAAACATGCTCTAGAGGACATGCCTGGGCATGGAGGTTGGACTAGATGACCTCCAGTGGTCCCTTCCAGCCCTACTCATTATGTGATTCTGTGATGTCAGTGGGAAAGACTGGCTGGAATGACTATAGTTGCAGCTCTGCACCATGTACAGCCAGGAGACCCTCCCAGGCACACTGAGCGAGGCCCCAGTATTCTTCCTCCGGAATTATACCAAACGAATCTAAAAATTTAGGGAATGTTGGCTACTGAAAAATGACAATTCCAGTGGTTGTCAATACCAAAAGCTGTTTCACATTTCAGTTCCAAGTTACAATCTGGTACTGTGGTGACACTGCAATGACAATACATTAAAAAATACTTGCTGCACAATTAAAACATACTCTAGGAATTTACACAGAAAAAATAACTGTATCCTAACTGTCAGTTCTACCTCCTTTCACATATTTAGAGTTAGCTCTTCCCAATTTGGAAACATTTACTCCCTGCTGATGAACTAAAACTAGAGAGAATGATGTGTATTATCTTCTATCTTTTGCACCAAAAGAATTGCAAATAAGTCTGAATTTTCAACACTGAACGTCAACAATTTTGTCCTAATTATATCAGTGAGTCAGCACTAAAACACAACAGGCCACAACTAGTGTAGAGCACTAATAAAATCTTCAATCTGTGACTATCAGATACTGCCATAACTGGAACACTGGCTACTGCTAAAAAACTCAATGAAAAACCAATAAACTCAAAAGATTATTTTGCTTAAATGAAAAATATGGAGATCTTCTATGATGCTACTTCTATAATGCCATTCTTCACAAAAGAATTTATTTCCACGTAACATTAAGGGATTCCTTTTGAGAAATCATCTGGAATTTCTGTCAGTGCTGTTGCAAGGTTTCTGCACTCGTCTATTAGAAGACACAATTCAACTGTGGTTATGAAAATCAGTCTACATATATTATTTCCCTTGGAGGTGTAGAGTTATAAATTCACTATCTTTAAGACTTGGGAAAAAGGTTTTGCTTCATTTTAAACACTAAAGGCAAGTGATGAACAGGAAAAATTCCTGAGTAAAATCCAGAAGGTCACTGCTAAAAACTGGAAATGCCAACAGTAAACAGAAAAAATTATTTTGACAGCCATAAATTTTCAGACCACACAGCCTCATATCACATGTGCTTCAGGTATAACTTTCAAATATGCACAGCTGCAATTTTTGTTTAGAGGCTTTTTATTTTTATTATTAAGGAGGAAGAGAAGGGGAGGACAGGAATAGAGCCAACTACTTTGATCACTTCTGAAAGAGGTGTGATCACTACAGATCAGCTTCCTACAAATTTCTGAACAGAACCAGTGAAATTACAGGGGTTCAAAAATCACACAAATGGTGATTTTCAAAAGAAAGATGACAGTAAATAATCTGCTGAACATGACCCTCCTGCCTTCCAATTCTTCTGTCTACTGTGGAAGAAGACAGTGTCAGGCCAGGGGAGAGCACAGAAGCAGAAGATGTTTGTCAGAGACATGCAAATTAGTACATGACACAGAACACATGCAACAAGATCCACCAATTAATAATGCAAACACACACTTATGTCAGCAGTGGGAGTTTTTTTGGTACCAAACCTTCTCATTAAAGCTATTATTTCCTCCTGGTAACATAAACAGTATTTCATCTCAAACTGCAGGATGTTCTTTGTTTGATTTTGGTTCCTTGGTTTGCCTGTCGCTTTCTAATGATGTGCTTTTGTGATGATGCTAGCTAGTTATAGCCATTCAATGGGAAGTGAGCAGCACTGCTGAAAAAAATAAATATTCAGCAAGTTGACTAAAATCAGGCATTTATTACTCAGATGATCTCTTTTGCAAGCCAGTAACAGAAGAAATACACATTAATTAGACCATGTTTACCAAATCACAAAATGTAAAAAAGTGCACTGGGTTTCTAGATTCGAAGGTAACACCAAGACAGTGAAAGAACATTCCTATGTCTCCTGTACAAGAATGCTGTAACCAATGTATAAATGTATCTAATGTAAATGCATTGTCCTTGCATTTAGATTTGCTTAGAAAACATCTTTGATTCTCAAACCCCAAAATTTTAGGAGAGTCCTGAAAACTGTTTCAAAGAAAAACAATAAACTTTATTGTTTATCCATAGGCATATAATTCAAATTGGGTAACTTGTGAAAACCTTATTTATTCTTCTGTCTAAATAATGCATTTTACTTAAAAGAACTGCACATAACAGAGAGTAAAAAATTCTCTTATCCTTTCAAATAGCATAAGAGAAAAAAATCTTGGTAATTATTCTTCAGGGTATGTACTAAATGGCATATGCGCAATATTTTCTGGTATAATTTGTTTGTTTAACTGTGTACTTTAATTATTGAGGCTTTAATAAAACAATGTGTGAGCACTGTGTAGGTATATATAAAACAAACCGGTATACCACTACTGCAAATACTTCTCCAACATATCCACCTAATTTTAATGTCATGAGCCATCCCATTTATGTTGTTGGGATTACTCATACCCGCAGGATTAAATATCCTTCTATCTATCATAAACTTGAGCAACTCCAACAATAAACATGCACTTTCTACATAGAGACATGTTGGCTTGATTGATGGTGGAGATTAATGTAACTTTGCCCTGGGGAGATAAGGGGCTTCATCATAGCAAGCATCCTTATTCTTAAGGTAGTGTTTTGAAAAAAAAAAACAAAGCAGAAAAGTCCCCCAAAGCTTAAGTTTGCTTCAATAAAAATAGGGGGAAAAATTTTATATAAATATATCTATATATATCTCAGTGTATGTGCCTCTGTGTGTGTACACATATGTAAAAATGATACTTTACCTAACCATGTATACACACAAATATATATAATTTTAAAGGACTAATTTCTATACGAACACTAACTCAGTTAGTTGCATGCCTGTGTCATGCACCTACATTAAACAAGCAGTGGTTTTGTTTTTCAGAAAGTCTTTCAAAACCATACATAATAAATGAAGTGTGCCCACTGACTTTTAATTGTAAAACTTTGGACTCATTTAGTAAACAGATAGTTTTGCCAGCATGCTGGGTGTTTGGCTTGGATGGGCCAGTGACTTCAGGATACAGGTGAAAATTTTACACTGGCACATCCCATATTTCATTAAACCATGTCACCCAAAAAAACAAATAAAGCAACATTTTTCCCCCCTGCATTAGACAAGGATACAGGAAATATACCATACACTGCATTAGCACTGCTGGAAATGTGCAAAAGTAGAGCAGTTGTACCATGCAAAACATGCAGGGAGAAGAGGAAAAAACTGTACTGAAGCACCAGAGGGATACACGCAATTTGTTAAAAGAGATTTTCTAAGCATACTAACCTGCTGGTTCTAATGAATTTTCTACTTTGTCGTTAACATCGAAAACACGATCATGAACACCTATAGTTTTCATACAGCTGTCTATAACGAAAATAAAGATAACAGCCAAATATGTTAGTGAGACACCCTTAAACTCCCCACTTTCCTTGTTTCCTCTTTTTTTTTCTTTCTATTTAGTATATATAATTAAACATATTCATATTTTAAAGTCTGTGGCACTTATCCATATGCCAGTACACTCTCCTGTCTGTACCCATTTCAAGAAACAAGAAGTTAGCAACTACTATGTAATTAAAGCTTTATGAAAAACAATAAGAAAATACGATGAAAATCGTAACACAAGCGTTGCTGTATGTACAGAACAGATAAGAGATTTAACAGTTAAAAAAAAAGATTTACTGCTGTTTACTAGACCACACACTAAAGCATGCACCCTCAAAAACTTAATCTGAAGAACTTACTTGCTGGTCGCACAAAGACCTTAAGCTTTAGGCAGGATCTCCTTCCATTATCTGGGATCGCAGAGGCTGTAAAATGAAGAACAAGGAAAGAAAAGTGGAGGAGTAAGAGAGTAAAGTGCAAAATATATTTTGTGCTAAAATAAACTACTCTTTATCTTCCCTTCATCTGAAGGGCTGGGCACATTTCAGTCTCTGCATGTAAGGACTTCAAGTGCTCAAAGTAGTGTGACTATGCAAAAACAGGAAAAGAACTGTAGGTTCTATTCTAATTAATTTCTTTATTATTTGACATGGAAGTAGTGAAGCACATAGTATTTTCAATGTTTTGTTATCTCCTTTCACCTTTCCACACAGTTTTCTTGGAAACTTGTTTGATATGATTTTTGCTATAATGCAAGTGTCCACTTTGAAAAAACAACACTTCAGAATATAGAACACTTAGAGAAAAGCTAGTCTTGAAACACTAGGCCATAGGCTTCAACAACCTAAAAAGGAATGAAAAAACAAAATGACACCAAAGGTGACAGTGCTAAAAATGGAACTCTGTATAGAGTCCCAGAAAAGTAGAAACACACACCATTAAATTTTACAGCAAAGTCAGCCTCCATATGCATCTGCCTCTGTTGACAAAATATTTATCTTGCTTCAGTCAAAACATGATTCCCAGTGTTACACAACTAACAAACCAGTATATTCCTCCTTTCTGCCCTCATCATTTCCCATTCAGAATATTTAATTTTAAGAATACTTACTGTATTAGGAGAAAAAGAGTAAGTGGGAGCATGTGTAGCCCTAATGCAAAAGATCACACACAAAGATCTAGTGTCAACACCTACTTATTTCCCAGGAAAAGAGTGCTGTTGTGAGAAATTCCCTTCTAGAACCATTCTTGCCTCAAAATACATGATCATAATATGCCTGCCTGTCACCCCAGACTGGACTCCCTTGTGCAGTGTCTGCCAATCTTTACGTACTGGTAACTTTTCTCAATTTTGAAATTGCACACTGGCCCACAGTTGACCCTGTACACTGGCAACAAAGCAACTTGACTTGGGCATGTAGATTTTCACTTCTGAAACACCATTCATATTTTTATCTTGCAAAACCCCTCAAAAGCTCTTGCTAAAAATATTGCCTGAAGCACTACAGAGCAACTTCTATTTTATTGCATAAAAAAGGGCATGTATTAGGGTAAAACAAATTGTGTTTTGCAATAAACGGCAACTAACTGGGAAAGATGATTCAGCTGCTAAGATGTTAATTTGTTCTGTTTATCCTTGTTTCATCCATTTTTATTAATTCTGTCCCTATGTGTGACAAATAACTAAGGTGATTTATACACAGAGATATGAGTGCTCACTCTTGGTCTTCATGTTAAGCTCACACCTGAAGGTCTCCTCAACTAATTTGAAATAAATTTCCTAAGTCTTTGATGATGTGCTTGCAAGGCAGGCATCAGATTTTTCTTAGAAGAACTTACCAAGAACTAGAAAGCTCAGTACAAACACAAAAAAGGAGCAAAGAATCTAATAAAGTTAAAGCTGTGGTTCCACATTTTGAAAGTTCTTTTAAAATTGTTTCCTTCTTTTAGTCAAAAGATAAAAGTGAGTAGAAACTATGCTCCCCCCTTTACAATCCCAAGCAGGCAAAAGAGAGTTAACAGATAGTTTTGCTATAGGATCTTACTAAATCAAAGTCAGAAAATCTCCATCTATTGACATTTACAGTAACTGGTATACTATTTAGGGCACAATATCTGCACTCTGTGGTTATATTCAGGAAACTGTATCCTTTCTGTGGCCCTCACTAAATATACATAACTGGCTAAATGGTTTGTTAAGACTGAACAGGCGGTTGTAGATTTCTCAAAAGATAAGAATCCTACAGTCATTACCAAATTACCAGCATAAAGGTGGAAATAACACTTGTGACAACAGACAAAACAGAATCCCTACAGTAAACTTATCACTAACAGATTTTTTTGCCCAGAAATTATTCCAGATGTGCATTATGACACACATTTATTTAAAGGTAAATTTTAGCTTTAATGCTTATATGCTGTTGCTTATGTCCGTAAAATAACATGTTTTGTTCATTGCTGTTTATTCAGTGACTAACTAGAATACCACTAACTAGCTAGGATAGCTAGGAGCCAATAAAAAATTCTAGAAAAAAAATATTGTTTCTGGAAAACACAGAAAATTAATGCTTTGTTTGTATGTGTTCAAAGGTGTACATAATATTTGCACACCCTTAGGAGTACATAACAGGTAGTGATTGGTCATGTTCTTTGGAAGAAAAACATTAAAATCCATTTACTGTTTAAATCTTTTCCCCCCATTTTTCACATTGGTTTGCAACTACAAAGTACATCACGAACTACAGTCCTATTGCAACCATAGCATTTGCACTTAAATTATCACAGAAACTGACATAATTTTAGTGAAAAGTATGAAAAAGTGCTTTCCAGAAAAATTATGTACTGTCAATTTTTTGCAGTAAACTCAGGAAGATTTCTCTTCCTTCAAAGGGAATAATGGAGAATAAGGGGGAAAAAAAAAATCAAGTGCCATTTGTCAGCACTCATATCTGCCTTAACAACCAAGACCAAGGTGGTGAAGGTATACACTGCAAGGCATACTCTTTGGTCTTCCTGAGACATTAGGTACTGTTTGCCAAGATGCATAACTGCAATCAAATTTTTCCTTCCTCTCTTTTTCTCCCATCTTCCCTCCTTCTCCCTTCTCCTTCTCATCTTAAAAGAAAAAGCATACACCAGAGTCAGTTTTTTTCCTAAGACCAGATGTATCACCCACAGGAAAGAGTCAGGAAAGAAGAAAGAGAACTGCTCTTTGTCAGCTGGGATCTGTAAAAGCTGCTTCTCAAGTAAACCACTGCTGTTGTTGCTACATTCCACTGAAATTAGCTACAGTATAAGAAAAGATGTCCTTTCTAGGTAGTAAAAAGAGAAATTTCATTCTGCTTCCTGCACAAAATCAGGTTAGCCCCTAAGGCTTTGCTAGGAGGCTTTTCCATTTGCCCATTTTAAAGGTGATATTAGCAATAAAATAGAGACCACTTCTGAGAGTAGGAAGCCTCTGATACTAATGGAACCTGTCCCAAGCAATACTTTCCATTCCAAAAGAATTCTCAAGGAAAAAAACCCAAACACCACAACTAAAGCCTTGCTGCACAACAGAAAGATACCTTTGAAAAAGTCCCTTATAAGGAGGGAAAGCAGTTATATGCTCTTTTTTCTTCATGGATGATATTAGAGAAAAGATGTGACTGGTTTAGTTTGTGCCAGGAAGAATCACAATTGAAAACAGAAGAGGAATTCTGCAGCATTGCTAATTCTATATGTCATTACAATTCCTATGATACTTCCCTCCTCCCCTGCCCTACCTCACCTTTACTAGCAACTTCAAGACAATCTCTTGGGTCTTTCTTTTATAGAAAATGTTTTAGACTTCCTGGCTACATAAAGACTTGGGTTAGAAGAAAGTGAACAGAAAGACTTGGGGTTAGAAGAAAGTGAACACTAAAATCCCTCTGAATTAACAAGATACATGAAAACATCTCAATTATTACAAAAATAACTGCTTTGGTCTATTTGTTTTGTTTTGTTTTTTTAATAAGAAAATGTCACAATTCAGAATAAATTTAAGTCATGGCCTCTGTATTCTTCAGATGAAAATGCCATCTCTATTAGTTGAACTAGGAAAAAAAAAACCAAACATGCAATGAACTACTGCACACAGGACTAGATCTATGCTAGATCCAAAAATGGCCCATAAAGACAAATCAGATGGGAAAATTTCTCATCTCTGAACCACGTCTGGTTACCATTTTTATACCCTAAGAAAAGGAATGAGAGTGACAAAAATTATTCTCTCCTCTATCAAGAGCTAAACCATAAATATTTCAGTGTTTGCAACCTATATTTAAATATATATAAAAAATAAAATTATACAGCTCTCAGCTAGAAAGCACATGGTACATTATTAATACATTAGATATATATAACAGGTTAGGTCCTTCCTCAGCCTGATAACACTTAGCAGTTATTCAATGACTCCAGGAAGCTGCAGGTAGAGAATAAAAAAGTAACATACACAGCAAACAGTTATGCAGTTCGATTTACTATGATAAATCCCTAAAACTCATTAAAAGGAGTCATCAAGATATGGCCCAATCAGTGTACAAAATAAGCTAATCAAAAAGTAAATGTACAAAACAATAAAATTTCAAAAGTAACTTGGTTATCAGGACCTGCTAGAGATGTGAAAAAAGTTGTAATTATTTCCTTTCCTAAGACAGGCAACAGTTTGGCTGGCAACTACGCGAGGCTCAGTTATCAGGATGCCACAAATAAAAAGTGTCTCAACCATCCTATTTACTGATATTCACATGTAATCAGTGGTTACCTCTGCTTGCCTCCTCACTCATTCTTAGCTTTCTAATTACAGGATTGCATTATTCCCTAAAATGCAAGTCCTGATAAAGGAAAAAAAAAAGGAATCACGAATGCAGTCCAAATCCTCCTTTAGCAGTACAAAGACATTTAACATTCAAGGCACAAGTCACTCTGGGCCCTATTAGACAGCAAAACTGGTTCAGTGTAGAAAAAGGGCTCCGTTTTTCTAAGTCACTCAGACAGCACCTTTGTTTAGAATTGGGGGACACTGGTAAAGTACCATCCTCTCCTTTATGAAGGAACCAAGCACCCTCACTGCATTTCCACAGACACTCTGCAGATGGTAATTCTCTTATTATTTTGTATTTCAATTACCGGTTCACTTGAGATTATTCTCTGAGGGATTATAAAGCAATGTTCATGAAACACAGGAGACAGTCTGTTCTCACTGCATTTTTGAAAAATGTAATGAATGTTTTCTTCTGCTCTCTGCTAAGAAGTCCAGCAAACAGGATCTCCTGTAGGGAAGAACTGAGAAATCACACCAAGATCTCACCTCAGTTCATTGCAGATGTACTACTACCACCACCCTCTGTTACACAAATTCTAGCCCTGGTAAGTGCTTCCCAACCATAAGCACTAAAGAATT